AAATAGCCATTCACTTTTTCTATAATAAATTAGTGGGTCGTGCATGTGAAAAGTAGAACGTTTGGTGGTGGAAAATGGCCTTTGCTTCATTATTTATTGGGAGCCACATGCATCTTGTTTTCCCTCTATCACATGAAAGAACTGTTATATGTTATGAAAATGATCCAGAAAACATTTTTGGATAAGCATAATGAAGTGTTATTTAATATATTGTCTAGTTGATAGATACTGGTAAGACTTGTATTATCAACCTGTAATATATTCTTATGTTATGACAATTTATATGATACTTAATTACTTTCACGTATTCATCAATCTTCCTTTCTCTCTGGAACAGTGTGGAAAAAGATTGTGATGTAAAACATTCTTTATTTAATGTATGCTTTGTATAATACAGTATTGGAAGGTGCTTTATTACAAAATTTGCAAGTTTGGTTTTGTTTAATGGGTCTCATTATTTTATAAACATGAACCAATAATAAAAACACTATTAGGGAATCTGAAAGTCGCACACTCTTATATATTGTTTTGTAGTGTGTAACCCTTTCCAAATTAGGTGGTTCTGGTGAAATTTCAACACCAGTAGCTACCACCCACCACACCTTCCATTCAGAATGATGGAGAAAATAAAAGAGAAAAGAGAATAGTGGTAGTGGAGCCCAAATGGATGAACAAAATGTGCTCCTTTAAAACTAGAATAGTTGTTTCTTTCCTACTGGTGGCTCTAAAGGGAATGTGTTACAGGTGGAGAATATTGTGGTCATTGGACACAGCTGCTGTGGAGGTATAAAGGGCCTCATGTCCATCCCAGATGATGGGACCACTGCAAGGTATACCCTATTATTGCTTCATCTCATAAAACAAGGATTAAATAATTTTGCCAAAAGGATGATTACTCAAAGTACTTATTATGTTATGAGTTTATCTTATATATATATATATATTTATAACCACAACACAATAATACATGTCCTTGAGAAAAAGTACGTTTCAAAAGTTTAATCTGTTCTGATAACTTTACTGAACTTCCAACTAACTTGGTGGTCAGTGACACTTTTGCTCAGTCCTAAAATGCTAAGTAGAGTCATTAGTCACATGACAGTCTCCAAAAGTAAATTAAAAGTTCTAATTCCCAGCTGATGTCCTCTTATATACTGAAAGTTCATGAGAAAGGATACATGTTTATATCAGAAAATTGATCATATAAAAGGCTTTTTGGGCATATTCTTGATTTGCATTCCTTGATGAATTTTGTTTTCCATGAATGAATTTAACTTTCCACTTAAATCCTCGTTGACTAAACTTCCTTAATGACCTTGTAAATCATTGCTTTCATCAGTGAATTCATAGAGAATTGGGTCCAAATTTGCACCCCGGCAAAGTCCAAGGTTAAAACTGAAGCAGGCACACTAGAATTCTCGGAGCAGTGTACCAACTGCGAGAAGGCAAGCAAAATTTATTTGGGGGCATAATGTTTTTTTCCAAGTAATGTTATACATAGTGGAACAGAAGGCCTTAACCGTATTGGCACTGAAATTTTGTCTGTGATGCAGGAAGCTGTAAATGTATCAGTTGGGAACCTTTTGACTTATCCATTTGTGAGAGATGGTGTTGTGAATAAAACGCTTGCTTTGAAAGGTGCACATTACAATTTCGTTAAGGGTACCTTTGAGCTGTGGGATCTGGACTTCAAAATCTCTAACTCTGTGTCTGTTTAAGATCGGTGAAGCACTAAACCAAAGTGTTCTTAACCCTGTATGCTTGTTGTTCATGTACATGATCTTCCCTTTGCAAGTGTTTCATATAAGAATCCCCTTTCCTCAAATCCCCAGAAAAAAGAGACGAACACTGCTCAAATAATGGTCTTAGTCTTGAGACCAATCCATAAGTTATTTTTTTCATCGTTTTGGTTACATTAGGCGAACTTCAGAACTTATCTAGCTACTAAAATCAAGCAATGGATTTGATTTAGTAGAAGATGTGTTCAGAATTTAAATGTGAAAATTCATAAACTTATTATAAGATTTTAGTTTAAAGATACTGTCAGATGTATGTTTGATTTTAATTGATGTTGTGTTTTCACTATAAAGTAGAGCCATTAAAAGAATCTAATTCAGTTAATTAAATAAGATCGATGAATTATTGTAAATATTTTATATGTATTTAATACCTACGAATAAAAAAAAACAAAAGTCGTAAAGTCTCCAATATAAATGGTCTTGAAAATGATTTTGAATGGACAATGTTAAATTTAAAATAAATATAAAAGGAACTGCATTCATTTTACGTGATAAGAAAGATATTATTATTTTTTTAAAAAAAGTCAAAATTAATCAGGTGATTAAAATTTGATTAGTAAAAAAACATTACAATTAATGTTTAGCCCGTGCAAGTTTGCTTTGCACTGGATAAAAAAAAGAGTCATTTTCTTAAAATGCAATGCTCTTTAAAATTTTAAGGGAATGAATTCTCCGTTAATAATTTTGCATTAATAGATTGATATAAAAATAGATAGACAAGATAAATAGCGTTAAATATTCTGTTAATGATAATTATATTAATTTTTTAAATGTTTTTGGAACAGTGGGAAAATAAACCAAAGAATAAAAGTTTAAGGATTTTATTACAAATGTTAAAGGAGATAGGTAAAATATGAGTCCAAATTGCGAAAACAAGAAAACTTAGAAACTTAAAATAACAATATGAAGCGTAAAAAGATCATGTTAAAAATTTGAGCAAAAGAAGAAAAATGTTAAATGAGAAAATCAATGCATTCTTGAAATTATATATATATATATATATATATATATATATATATATATATATATAAAGGGGGAAATTAGTGTTCGTGACACTCCAAGTTTTTTATCTAGATTAGAAATTTAAATATACAAAGATTATAAACGAAGCAAGAATATTTTTAAAATCAAATTAATCATCAGAAAACAAAATTATCTTTAAAAATCAGGTTCTTTCTCATTCTGAAAAATGATTTTTGAAATCTGAGAATTCGAAAATTACGATTAAAAAATTCTGAACTTCTTGAAGAATATTTATTTTAATAACTACAATTTATTTTATCTGTAACTATATTTATAACTATATACATATGTTGATTTTTCAATTTTATTCTTTTAAGTATGATCCAGACCGACCTATCACCCGATCGACCATTCAGGTCGACCTATCACTTGATCGACCACCCAGGTCGACTTACTACCTTGTTGACCATCCACGCCGACCAACCACCAGGTCAACCACTCAGGCCGACCAACCATCCAGGACCGACCAACCACCAGTCCGACCATTACAAAGATAATAGCTCATTAAAGTCCTAATGAAGATTAAGGGGCGATTGGGCCGTCATTAGGCCGACGAGAGGTAAAAGCCCATTACAACCAGTATAAATAAGAGTCCCATGTATAATTTCTGGACGAGGCAGCACATTATGCACATCACATGCATCACTTGTTGTGATAGTCGTTCGGTCACTTTACTAACTTGAGTGTCAGAGTGCCTTTAAGAGGTACCTGCCTATTCAGCTTGGAGAAGGAGGAGGGAGAACGAACAACTTGGAGTGCGAGGAAAACTAGGGAGGTCGTCCGCCCGCTTGGAGGAAAGCCCACCCGATCTTAGCGAGAACGAGCAACGTACGCCCACTTGGAGCAAAGCCTGTCCGTCCGTCCGCTTGGAGCAAAGCCCACCCAGCCTTCAGCCTGAAGCGCTTCGAACAGAGTCTGTCCATTTGGTCTTCAACGTCCATCCAGTCTTAAGTACAACTAGGAGTGTTTTAGCAAGGGACCTCCAAATCCTACCGGAACAACTACTTTTAAAAATTTTTAAAATTTAGATTTATATATATTTAAGATATGATACATACATATGATAATGTTTGTTATTAAAAGAATTTTCTTTAATGAAGTTCCTCTTTAATTGATTATTTAATAAATTTATAAAAGGGATTTAATGAGAGATTATGATGTTAAGCCTTACAAAGAATAATGGAATATTAAGGTGCTTATAAACATTTAAGCATTTTGTAGGAGTATTTTTGTTTGTTATTTGTTGTAAAATTAATCTTAGAGTAGAATGATGGATTATATATATATATATATATATATATATATATATATATAT